GGGACCCTTCAGTCTGCAGGCTGATGCTCTATCCACTGAGCCAAAGCGGTTAGGGCCCTGTCACAGTTTTCTCAACTGAAAAATGAAGATACTCACAGTGCTGCTCACCTTCTCTATAAGATTGTTGCAAGATTTACAGGAGTAACATGAGGGTCATTATTATTTTTAACGAGTTAGAAAAAACTGAATTCAGAAAATCTCATTTCTTTACCCTCCCCCTCCCCCCCAAAAAAAAGAAAGGGGGGGGGAGAACTGTTACATACATAAAAATATAGAGAATAAATTCTTATAACACCAGTTATGAGAAAAGAGAAAGCATTATGTCAGCAACTTCTGCCAGGGTGTTGCTATTTCTTAATTTCTGGTCTGGCAGGGGCAGCTAGCGTCAGGCCCTGACCCCATCTCCTTGGCAAGGAAGTCGCTGACCCTACCTTTCTCACATGTGCTCACTCCCTCCCTCGGGGATCTCTCTTCAATGCCAGGTGATGCTGGGCCATGGAAAACATCTTGCTGGCAGTTTTAAAAGAGCAGGAATTGCAGGAGAGGTGGAGAAAGGGGAGGTGACGTGGTTGGCAGGACTGAAATGGGTGATTTTGCAATGTTGTTTGGGGAAAGGGAAAATAAACTAGGAGAAAGTTAGCCAGGCCATATAACCTTGCTACTGCATTGGTTATAGGAGGAAAGGACCCGGTGCCTGTATTCAGAGAATGCTCAGTTAAGACTGTTTTTCCAAGGGGTGCGGGGGTAGAATTCTGATAAAGCCAGGCCAGAGGGCTCTGAGGTTAAGAAAAACATTCGCACAGGGAGGAGCAAACTTCACACACAAACCCACTCTGCTGGATTAAACAGAACAGGCCATTATGTAACACACAGGTCTCCGAGGGGAGGGTCAGAGATTTGGTCTTGGAGACTTTCCAGTCCCGAATAATGTCGTCACCCCAGGGCCCAGACATTGTGTTCAACTCGTGCCATTGGTGTGGGCCACTGGATGCCAAAAACCCACAACTGTGCCCTAAACCCTTACCCCCAAATGGATTCTATGCAGCCCCAGCTTCCCAATGCCCTCTGCTGGAGGCCAAGTCTGCCTCGGGTGTCTGATTGGCTAAGCCTAGGGCAGTGGTCGGCAAACTCATTAGTCAACAGAGCCAACTATCAACAGTACAGCGATTGAAATTTCTTTTGAGAGTCAAATTTTTTAAACTTAAACTATATAGGTAGGTACATTGTTATTAACTTAATTAGGGTACTCCTAAGGCTTAGGGAGAGCCACACTCAAGGGGCCAAAGAGTTGCATGTGGCTCGCGAGCTGCAGTTTGCTGACCACTCGCCTAGGGTATAGGCATTGTTGAAAAGGGGCTAGGGAAGCCAGTGTCAAGCCTTTGACCTTGGGGAGGCAAGACCCATCATGCTGGAAGTTTTCCAGTCACAGAACGGGGTCCAGAAGGACAGCCATCAAGTGTGCATACCTCCCCCAGCAGCATTTCTATATTGTGTGCATGCGTGTGAATAGGCGTATAATCCATGTCTCAAGGTCCCATTTCCAGGGTGCTTTCATCCTTAGAAATCCAAAGATCCACCATGCAAGCCCCACCAGCAGCAGGGGCCCAGTCTCTTCATTTGGGTGTCACTCGGCCACACTGAGTGAGGTCAGGGTGCAGCTGCGAGTACCATCTGGCCACGCCTGCTCCGTGTGGCTCTGCTCCTTCAGGTTGTCATTGCCCCCTAGACATGGACCAGGTCTCTTTCTTCCCCTCCCTCTGAAATGAGGAGCTGACACACTCCTCAGAGACATGCCAGGCCCCCAGGAAGACACTGCAGTTGGTTCTGACTTGTCACTTTCTCTCCCCTTAAGACTCAACTCTGGTTTTTACCTCTGCAGAAGCAAAGGCCCTATTAAAGTGGCACTAAAGAGGAAATCAGCCATCAAGCTTAGGATGCAGGGACAGAAGGAATTTTTTAAAGCTTTGGAGTTTAGTCTTTTCCCAGATGAAACCTCATTTTGGAGGAGAGAGTCGAGAAACTGCTCTAACGGGTTTTTTCTTTAGAAAAGCCCAGAAAGCCGATTAAAGGCAATGCCCCAAAGCAGTCTCTGCCCCGTACTCCTAGGGACAGTGCCTGTCGGGCGCCCACAAGCCTGGACAAGGGGAAGTGAACCTATGGGTGGAGAATGGCTCTCTTCTCCCTTGGCTTTCCCATGTCCACCGTCCCCTTCTGGTGATTTCCATGCACCGCCTGTGTTTGTATTTGCCCCATCCACCCGGTTCGTTTCTGTGTGTCACTCGGTGCTTGTCTGTTGAATGATTCCGCTTGGGACGCCCAGGAGAGCCAGCTACTCTCCCCACCCATCTCCCATGACATGTTGTCTGAGACCTCTATTTATCTATGTATGTTTTGTGAGTTTCACTTTAGGACAGGAACAATATCTCATTTGCTATGGAGTCCTCAACAATGGGCAGAGTGCTTGCCAGTATTTTTTAATGAAAAGAAGGAAAAATGAATGGATGGATGGATGGATGGATACCTGAGCTTTGCGGGACAATGGTCACTGTAGCCAAATGCCACGTGGGGGCAGTGTAGAGCAGCTTGTCGAGGCCTCCCCGGACTCTTCTACCAAAGCCTGGCTGGCAAGTTTTCTAGACCTTATTTTGAGGCCCAATTGGTTGATGGCTGTGCCCAGGGGCACACACACAGCTCCTGAGCCGAGCTCTTCCATTACAGTATGCCCATCAACCCGGCTCCCTAGGTTCTACGGGCCCTGGTGCTGCCAAGCCTCTTTCATTATCACCTGGATCCCTTCTTGGGAGGCTGCTATTGGCTGCTGGCTGGTGAACATGCGCAGCACAAAGGAAATGGACCACTGAGTGCATCCTTCAGAGCCTAGTGTGTCTTCCCAGCCTCTCAACATGGTCCCAGCTTTGGTGACTTGGCCCTCATTGGACTCCCCCTTTCTCTCACATGTCTCTTCTCCCTTTTTGAGACCTACATCACTTTGGCTTATATTTCCCAGAAAAGGAAGGACCCCATTCTCAGAACAGGTCCTACTCCAACTATGCTTCTCTCAAAATTGACTTCTCTTGTGTACCATTTCCTCTCTCCCTGCATTTAATTTCCTCTATCTTTTTGTGTGTGGGCAAGCAAGGGGTGTTGGGGAGAATACTAACATGGTGATGGCTCTCTCTTCCCCTCCTGGCTGTCCACACATTTTTCCAACAGATTCCCCAAGGACCATGCCTTAGGTAGCAGAGAGAGGTATCTGGAGAACACAAAATACCTCAAAATTTCCTTTTCTTCATTTATCTATTTAATTACTCAATTATCTTAAAAATATGTTAAGCGCCGAAACCGGTTTGGCTCGGTGGATAGAGCGTCGGCCTGCGGACTGAAAGGTCCCAGGTTCGATTCCGGTCAAGGGCATGTACCTGGGTTGCGGGCACATCCCCAGTAGGAGATGTGCAGGAGGCAGCTGATCGATGTTTCTCTCTCATCGATGTTTCT